ATCAAAATATATTTTTAAAATGTCTTTTTTAAATCCACAACTTGTTTACGAGTCTATAACACACAATAAAAAAATATCGAGCAATTATCCACTAATGGGACATCCTGTATGCCATCTTTTAGAGCGTCATGGAAAGTGTGAACAAAATTTGTTTTTTTACTACTAACATGAGAAATCACCATTATTTACTCCATTCCTCTAATGAGAAGTAATATTTCTCTCCCTAGGTAAATAATGATAATAAAAAAAAACCTAGGTAAATAATGAAACTAAATTTCATTAGTTTCATTTTGTTAATTTGACAACTAAACTCCCAGACTACTTGATATTTTGAAATATTTGAAAAATAAGTAGGAAATAACTAAAGCTGGGTTTATTAAAATCTAATCAAATCAAATATGATAATATATATCAGTGTTAATAGTAAAAATATATATTAACTAGGAAATTCAACACCGGCTTTAAAAATTATTAATTAATAACAATAAATCCATGTCATTAAAATATCAAAAATGCAATGGGATATTTCCTAGAATCATACCAAAATTTGACACATGCCAAATTTTTACATAAATAAAGCCAGTCTGATTAGAAACACGCTCCAGTCTGCTTGATATTTCGAAATATTTAACAAATTGTTAGGAAATTACTTATGTCAAAATTAAAATTGCTAATACATTAATGTTAGTAGTAAAAAAAATTCTATATATACTATTATTTCTAAAAAAATTAAATTTTTAAATTGAGATCTGTCTTCGGAACTATTTTTGTCTAGTCGAATTTGAATAACAGAAAAATACTTACAATATTAGAATAATGAATAATTTTTATCAGAAAATTGCAATCCTGCTTATATTTTATTGATATGCAAATGATCACTGATTTACATACTTGCCATTCTTTACAAAAAATATGACATTGGATTTACCTGTTTACGAGGGTCATTCGTTAATTAAGTATTTTTATTACACTCATAAATAATGACGTAATTACCAGTTGATATAAAAGATTTTATATCGAAGACAGAACCGATATTATAATGGAAGGTTTTTTTTGAATTTTTCTCAAAATTGACTTTAAGGTGATCTTAGATTTTTTACATGGAATAAACCAATAGAAGAAATCCAAAAATGTTAAACCGTCAGCTATAGAATAATGTTTATCCTTTTCTTAATATTATCGATCAAGTTGATTATGGAACTGTCTTTTCCTACATTACTTTTTACTAATCATTCTTGAACACACGCATCACTAGGATTGCCAGATTTACGAAAGTGAAAAGCGTGACAACTGTGATGATAGAGCATCAGATTCAAATACCATTTTTATATAATCAGGTCCATTCTTTATGAAATTTATAAATGCGACTTTGACTATTAAAAATAATAGCATTTGCATAAAAGAGTGGCAATTTTGTCAAAAGCGGGACATTTTCGCACTGTGGCGTTGCGCGTACAAGTAAGTCAAATCGTGACGCCTAACAACCCTACGCATCAACAAAAACATCTTCTACCGTCTAGGGTTGTTGAAGTTAATTCGTAATAGAACCCATATTCGTATCCTCGTATAAATACACGTTATTTCAGTTTTTAAATTTTAACGTTAAAAGCAATTTCATTAAAATACCAGTTAAGTTTATTTTTATTTAATTAATAGGTACTTTTAAAATTAACATTGCAAGACACTTATGATTAAAAAAACAACTTTATTAATTGGTAACAAGGTTCCCTTTATTCATGGGTGCCGTCAGAACGTTTTCCATGTGGGGACAAGAATGCAAAATTGTGAATTCTTTAAAACAAATTTCAGAAATGTAGCGATTTATGGACGCTATCGTGTAACACGATACGGAATTTAATGAGCTTGGGCGTGGTTATCAAATGCCGACTTTACCGTTTCAAGGAACTAAATCACATATTTTGATTACTATTCGGTGCAAGAAAGACGTCCGACACTCCCAAAATAGGGCGCGGCCATTTTGATGCAATTATTACTAGGTTAGGCAAAACATTTTTACAAAATGTTAAACTGGTAGCCTACATCTTGGTATTTTGAGATTTTAAATGTAGAAAAAACGTTTATTTATTTAAAATAATATACAAGAAACTCCTTTGAAGTAAAGTTATAATTGCAAGTGCATCTTGAAATAGAGGTGAGTTTTATTTTATTTTTGTAATGTAATAAAAATCTTTGAGACTAAACAATCTTATATTATATTTTGCATTTTTTCAGCTGTAAATAGATAGTTGGTTTTTATCTTATAATTTGTATAACAGTTTTTTTTTTAATTAGTTATATGTAGTTGTTAAATTTTTAACTAAAACAGATGTATTATTGTTCATCTACAAATGAGTCTTCTGTCATTTGTTACACAATAAGAAATTGCTGAATATTTTATATTCAAGAAAATACCCCTATGGGTATTACTGCCAATATTCTCGTTTTCAAAGATTACACAAGTTTGTTAATTTTATTAGCATTAGATTGCCTGTGTACATTTTCAAAACTCTTGCATATCTCCATACTTTCTGCTTCTATAGCAATCGATGCTTTTCTTAGTCCGTCGACTTAATAATGTAAAAAGGATGTCAAATGGTGGCTCTAAAAGACATTTTTGTTACTTTTATGATTCTTGTGTATGTCTAACGTACAAAATTAATGTACCTGGATCAGTGGTACTTTTGCTTATTAGAAATTTCTATTTATCCGAATTTGTTACACAGTTTACCAAATAAAAAAATTAAATATTACAGGTAATTTTCTGACTGTTCCAGATAAACTATTTAGCAGAGGGGGCTATTTTCTTAGTGAGGCTGTGAGTTACCTTTTATATAAATGTTCCAAAAAGTAAACAATATTTGTTACAAGTTTATTTATATTATTTCGTTTGATTTTAATACTGCTACTATCTATTGAAGTAAATGCTTCAATTTTCTTGGTATTTGCCTTCTACAAAGAATTGTTTCATGATTAATCACATACCTTTTTACATAAGAGCAACAAGCATTTTCTTCAAAATGCTGAGAACAGACGTACCAGAGTTCAGCTAAAAATAATTTCTAAACAATTTTATAAATGGTTTGTAAACACTGTTCAAGTTAAGTGCTCGAAATTCCTAGGATACCTGAAAAATAAAAAGTAGTTACTGTTACTTTTAAAAGGAAAGATTTAACATAAAATCACCAAGTAAAGCGTTTTCAAGATATTCATTATTTGTTAATGGTTTTGTAGTGTAGGTTCGTAAATAATATATTTGGGGACTGACCAATGAACTGGAGTGGGGTAGAAAGCTAATGTGCATATTTTATCAATTGAACAAGATGCGACTCTATGGACGCAGCCATTTTTATTTCTCATCTCACTCGGGAGTATTTATAATAACCATTTTCTGTTTCACATTGTTATTGTTCAATCCACAGGCTGGTGGATCAGACAATAACAAAGTGAAATAGAAAATGGTCGTTATAAATACTCCCGAGTGAGATGAAAAATAACCTGTCTTCGCCCATAGAGTCGCATCTCAAGCCTATTGACAAGCATTCTACCCCACTCCAGTTCATTGGGACTGACTTTAGGTAAATATTATAACATAACCACTAAAACTATTGCGCCAAGATGTAGGCAACACGTAATAAATGGCGGAGTTTTCTATCTCCTTTTAAAAGGCACTCATAAAGCTGCGCAGTGCGACTATTCTCTGTATAGTAAGAGAAAAATCGAAGTATGTGGACTAGATACTCTAAAAAATATACCGAAGGTCCAGAGCGAAAAGTCGATAAGTATTAAAATTTAGTTATGAAGATATATTGCTGTTTAAGTATTTTTTGTTTTTTATTAATTTTTTAAATTGACGTTTGCTATAGATGTACTGAAATAAAGACGATCAAATTTTTGCTCTATTGATTAATAGATTTTCGAAAAAAATTGATCTTTACTCATATATCGATTTTTCGGAATACCAATTTTAACAATACTTAGATACGAAATTTCACCACTAAAAACTGTTTGATGATATACCTATATAAAAGTCATTTTTTTATTTTTGCCGACTTATCTAGTATTGGCTGTGACCACTCGATACAATCTATTATTATCAGTTAAGGAGGTCCTTTCGCCACACCTCTCGCCTCCAATGTTAAAAAAAAGTTATTAGATTATGACTAAAATTAATTTTTTTCTAATAGTTGAAGTCCTTATTTATCTAATACTGAACTTTTAACTATACCTTACCTTGCAAATTTTTGAGAATTTTTTTTTAAAAATGTGAGTATTTGTACAGTGCCTCACGAGAAAGTAAGTCCTCAACAACAATTCTCGAATTATACTATTATTTATTGATTAGATGAAGTAGAAAAAAACTAAAAATAAGGTTTTTGAAATATTTAGATTTTGTTTTATACAATAAAATATATATAGTAAACCGTGGAACTTATTGAGAAATTAATATTAAAAAATCACAAAAAATTTTCATGTAACCTAGTTGAAAATTTTTTGTGATTTTTTAATAATAATTTCTCAATAAATTCCACGGTAACCTATATATTTTATTGTAAAAAACAGAACCTAAATATTTCAAAAACCTTATTTTTAGTTTTTTTCTACTCCATCTAATCAATAAATAATAGTAAAATTAATTATAATTCGAAAATTGTTGTTGAAGTCTTACTTTCTCATAAGACACTGTACAAACACACACATTTAAAAAAAAAATTCTCAAAAATTTGCACGGTAAGGTATAGTTAAAAGTTCACTATTAGATAAATAAGGACATCTACTATTAGAAAAAAATTAATTTTAGTCATAATCTAATATTTTTTATTTAACATTGGTGGCGAAAGGACCTCCTTAAGTTTATGCCCCAATAATTGTTTGATAGAAGTTGCTATTGTATTTTTTTTTGGACTTGGAAATTTCCAGGGTGGGGCAACTGTCCCCTTTGCCCCCCTTGCCGGCGCCCATGCCTTTATTGTGAATGATTTGGTGTTCCTGCAAAACTAGAAGTTGATACATTCGAAAAGCACCTTGAAGGTTTAAATAATTTTCTTAATTATCCATTAACTGTTTGAAGATGAAACGGTTTTGTTTGTTCTTACTTTACGTAACGGTGGTAAACTGTGGAAAAAAATTACGTGAGTATTAAATTATATGTATAATAGAAACATAAATCTGGTAAAATGCCTTATTTTGCATCATATTCAAAGTTACGAACCCAAAATTGAATACATACATTGCGGCAAGTTAGCAATTATGAACAATTATTTAATGTTATTTAAACATGTAGTAAACCCCTAAGGGTCGGTCTTTTCACCTTCAGATAAAGTTCCAGTTAACTAATCAAGTGGATTGTTTTGTTTTGAAATTATTTATTATTTAAAACTCCATAAAGCAAGTAACAAAAAAGAAAAGATCGACTTACTTTAAACAAGCAAGAGGATTCTTGAAACCCAAAGCAGTACGTGCGAATGGTATTAATTTATTTGCCATTAGTAGTGTATTAGATATGTAAAGGCTGTTATTTTTATTATATCGCTTATTTTATCGATAATTATTATACAATTTTACGAAACAAATAAGTAAACCACTATTTACAAAAAAAAACATCTTCAACATTCATAAAAGAAAATAAAATAATATGTTGACGTATCACCTCGCGTACCACATATTATCTCACTTAAGGGAACGTAACAACATTCCCAGTGGCGGGTCGTGATAATTTAAAATGGGTGTTCACTTTTTCAAAAAATGTATAACTATTTTCAAGCACTACCACTATTAATGAATAAATAAATGAATATTTTAGTTATGTAATATTTGTTTTTAATACGTTGAAAACCTTCTCTAAAGATTATTAGTTAGTCAACTGACTTTTCTTCATGTTTTGATTTTTGTGTAAAAAATATTATATGAAACGTTACCTACCATTTTTCAGTTTTTATTGTAAATTTAATCATTTTCGGAATTTGTCACACATGTCAAATAAAATAATATATTTTTAAAATACCTTTTATTGGTAAAAAAACAAGTGAACTAAAATGTGTAGTTTATAAGATCAGTCCCATTACAATACATAATATTATACAGATAAAAACTAAAATGAAGATATACGCAGGACTTCAGGATGTGATAGCTCGTCCAAAAATATGAAAAAACATTTCTATTAACTTACCCTCTAAAATGCACCATTTTCGAGATACAGGGTGTTGAAATTGAAAAAAAAATTTCTACGCCACGGGAAAAAGTACGGTTTTGAGACGCCCATTTGAACCGCCAATGTTTTCTACACAAAAAATATTCTCTCTCTCTACTATTTTTCTTTTGCAGCTCCTTACGTGGAACAATGCTACAGAGGAGACGACAAAGCCATGTCAGAATGTCTGATAAGGAATATAGATAAATTAAGACCTCGTCTAGCAAATGGTATTCCAGAATTGCTAGTACCTGCGCTTGACCCTCTGATGATTCCTTCTGCCGTCATAGCCAATGAGAATACGTTCAAATGCGATCTGAAGAACGTCAATTTGTATCATATCGACAACATGACCATAAGTAAATTGGATATGAGTTTCGAGGGAAAAACTTGGGATTTAGAAATGGAATACCCTTCTTTAGGAATTGTTACGGACTACCATATGGTAGGCAAATTACTCGTGTTGGAACTGAATAGTATGGGAAAGAGTACGGGAAATATAAGTAAGTATTTACACATTTTACTAATTTTTTCTCTTTGCCCAACTAAACACAATAATTAATGAGAATGGAAGATGACAGATGTTAATAATATTCACATATAATCTATTAAATAATATTGCGACGTCTATTAACTTTCTTATTGTTGTTTTTCTTGTTTTTTCTGTTTTTTTTGTTTTTTGTCAGACTTTTTGTTATAAATTTAAAACATGAATATCGACCAAGCCTTTTTTTCTTTTTTTAGCTGGAGTGAAACTAAATTACCACGTAAATTTGGATGTGGAAAACAAGAACGGCAAAGAATATTTTAAATTGAAATCGAGCAGTTTGAAAGCAATAATCGATTATTCTCATACCTACTTTGAAAATCTTTTCGGAAAAAACGAGGAATTGAATCGAAGAGCCAATCAGATATTTAACGAAAATTATAAAGTGTTTTTGGAACAATTCACCCCGGTTGTCGAGCATATTGTCGAGGAATTTGTGAATCATGTTTTAAGTAACTTTTTTAAGAAGTTTTCGTTAGATGTGATATTTCCAAAAAAAAAATAAAAATTGAGATCCTTATTGATTTTAATACAATTACCCAATCTTATTATATTACTTTTATTTTTATTACGAAAAAATCAATTAATTTCAAAAAATTAACTTTTGTTTTTATTCTCAACCTTTTAATAATATAGTGTCTAATTTATTTTTAGTTTATTTATTTAAAAATACACGATTTACAATTTATTTCAGACGTACTATATAATTTATATAATACTTAGACACTAATTAACAATTCTAATTTTTTTCTTACACTTTAACTTTTCATTACAATGTTCTATATTAAACTAAACTGGGCGCCGATACGTCGGCTATTTATATTAATCCAACTCCGCTACTGGAAGATACTAGAGACTCTCGAACATTCCATTTCTATGACTAAACGGCACTCTCCGCCGTTCCAGCTGTTTTTAGTGCGTCAGCGGCAGGTATTCCTAAACGTTCCGTCGCCTCGAGCACGAGTTGGTTGCCATCTGAAGGTCGAGCGTACCTACCCTGTGTACGCTCGACCTTCAGAGTTGGTTGCCATCTGAAGGTCGAGCGTACACAGGGTAGGCTTTTAGAATTTCATGACAATAGAAATTAGTAAATTTATTTATATTCATTGAGTACGGTTTTCTGATTCAGATACATATTTTTTTCTGCAAACGTCAAAAAATGACAAGGTTCATGCATTGATAACGATGTGCGAGTTGACCCTTTTATTTTTGTCACTTTCCTACGTTATTACGACACCGTACGCTAAATAGTGTACGAAATACATATTTCGCGCACTGCATGTGAACCATATGATTTTTGTATTTTAACCTTCATGGTCCTCATTCAAGCAGAAATTCAAGAAATCATTTATTTCTAAGGACCAGTTTTTCAATAACAGTTTAAACTTTTATTCACCCGAACTTTGATCAAATATAGAACTGAGATTAACATCAATGGCGTTTTTCAATCATGTCAATATGACAAGTTCAGGTGATTAAGTTTAATTTATATTAGTACTTTTGAATCGAGGGACTTCTGACAAAACTGAATGACGTTTTTTTTAATAGTATATTACGTAACAAGAGTTGTAAGTAACCCATTACGTACGAAGTGAAAAAGTTTACGTACGAAGCCGCGCAGCGGCGATCATTAGATATTGAAAGATTTATATAAGTGTTTTTCCAACTGGGTATTAGTCAATTACAATATAGAATTACAAATTATATAAAAATATTATAATTATTTGTGTTCTACCCTAGCTTTATTGAGCTTTACATATACTGCCTTCGATCATGGTGGACTGTATCATAGTATATTACCCGGGGTGGAGGCCTTATGCTCCACCCTGTAGCCTCTGGAAGATATTCTTGAAGTTCTGGGTTTATTTAAATAAAACTATCACCCTATATTTGAATTTGATATATTCACTGCTTGCAGATTTCACATTTTACACATTTACTACTTGGTTACATAAATTTATTGATCGATTACATATTAACTTTTTGTAAATCAACTCGCACAATGCTTGAAATTAATTTACGGCGATTGCCGGCTTTGTAAAAGTTTGATTTGGTGTTGGTTTGACTGACGAAGCGTAAGTGAGCGTTTTGTTTTTCGATGCAAGCTTGTTAGTTCGGATCGGTTTTACCGGCTTTGTTCTAATTGGTTATCTAGCCTTATGATTGCGCGCGAGAGTCATGATTGGGTGAAAAAATTTTGCGTGACCTTGTTTTACTTGTTTGCGAAGTCGCAGGTGTCTGAAGGTTATTTGAAAGTTAACCGGGTTGTTTCACAACTTTGGATAATTATTTTATATAGGGAGTGACTATTTTACTAAATAAAATACTTTTTAAAAAATTTTGATTTTGTAACTTACGAAGTTAGTCTTGTTGCCTTCGATATGTTGTTTACAGTCGTCAAAAGTAAATGTAAAATATATAAAAACATTTAGGTATAAATAAGTAAAATACAAACAACTTAATTATATTATTTTTGAAAGAACTCTTGATCATTGCCTGATTAGAAATACGTCTTAAATTAGGAAAGTATTAATTTTTTTTAACTATTATACTTTATGAATTTTTTTATTGAGCTAGAATATACCTTGGTCTACTTATTATAAGGTATACTTTTCCTACTAAAAATTCCATAGCAGTATATGAAATACAAAACATACACAACATATTACAAGTAGATATTTTGATAAGAGTATCAGGTGTACAAATTATAACAACTACATGCCATTTATTGACATTTAATTCTAAGAAAACTACCCTATTTGAAAACATTCAGGACACAGTAAAAATGTTCCAGCATCAGTACTTATATTTTTCTTTAACACAGGTAGAACTTGCTAAGGGGACGAGTGTAACATGGTATCATTTATACGTCTGCTGTCGTTTTTGATATCTGTACCGCATTTGGTTTGTTTAGATATATGCTTTTCTGTCTTCTTTACTGTATTTCTGCAATTAAAAAAACCTGATGTGTCCAACACATGACTTTCCTATCTAGTTATTATAGGCTTTTTCCGGTTATTTTGTACAACCTATTGCAGCACCTCTATAAATGTTTAGAGGATAAACTAAATATATACATTTTCCACATACATCTACTTCAAAACATTTTTCAATAGATATTTGTCAAATTTCTCGAATACGGACCATTTCAGAAAATTTTGACATAAAGCAAAAATTATAGATAATAATATTTATTGATATTGATATAGGTATACAAATAAAATAATAACAATTGTATTAGTTTAACACCAAACAAGGGCGGACACCAGCCTAAGCAACTTAATGCTTGTTTTGCGATGCCAGTCCTGTTTAGTGCTTTACAAAATATTATACTTGTTTTAATATCATGAACTAGATTTAAATATTAAAATAATAACAGAGATAGCTGAAACAGTTCTAATTAATACTAAAGAAAAATAATTAAATATGAAGAAAGAAAGTAATGTGGAATGTAATGTAGGAGATGGAAAATTAAATCAAGAACGGTTTATATATTGTTTAATTGTTAATTTACTGAAGTATTTTTTTTTATATTATATTTAGTTTATCGGGGTGATTTATTAAGAAATTTTTAACGTCTATTTTATAGATTTTAAATTTTTTTATTTGTTTTAGGTTAGCGGGTAAGAGATTATATAATTTTGGACCATGGTAAAAGTATGAATTTTGGGTAATTGATTTTTTAAAGGCTTCAGTTCTTATATTCAAGTTTGTTGCGGATCTAGTTTTTGTATAATATTGGGGTGTTTTATCTTGTTCATTAAATAATAAGATAATAATATTAGAAGTAACTTTTATTTGAACAATTTTCTTCTCCAAACATAAATAACAGATATAGTCCATAAAATATAGAAACGGCCTTCCATAAAGTACCCCCCCCAGATGTTCCGACTTTGTCTAAAATCTAATCATTTCACGTCAGGCCGAAATAAACCTTAAGTTTAAAATTTAATGTTTTTTTCTTTATCCGATTTGAGTTTTCTTCAAAATTCGAAATTTACACATTTTCTCAAATATTTCGAATACGGTCCATTTTAGAGAAATTTTGTGTAGAATAAAAATTATACAGAATTATATTACAAACAACTTTTATTTGAACAATTTTTATAAAATTTTTTTTTTTTTCATTTTGTCAAATTTCTCGAATACGGAACATTTCAGGAAATTTTTACATAACACAAAAATTATAGATAATTATATTGAAAGTAACTTTTATTTGAAGAATTTTCTTCTCCAAAAGTAAATAACAGATATATTCCATAAAATATAAAAATGACCACCTATAAAGTACCCCCCAGATGTTCCGACTCTGCCCAAAATCTAATCAGCTCATTGGACGCTGAAACAAAGCTTAAGTTTAAAATTTGGTGTTTTTCTGTGAATCGGTTCATGAGTTATGCGTTATACAGACACACACACATCATCGCGAAAATAGTCAAAACAGATTCAGGGGACCTCAAAACGTAAAAATCCGTCGAAAACTCGAGGTCGAAAAAATCATGATTCCTATACTTTCCTTATATCTGTATACAGATAGGAAAGTAAAAAATGCATCAAACGTGCATATTCAAATGCAAGCTTATGAAACGAATAGTACATGACATTCATAGCGGATTCGACTCAAATGCTCTTGCTCGATGACAAAGCGCTTTTAGTTCTGAATTGATTTTGGGTAGCATTTTTTATAATTCAAATTTATATCTAGCACTGCTAGCAGTGTACACAGTAAGCACGAGCTAGAATTCGACATTGGTGTAGCGCATCTTTATCGTTATTTGACTGGCACAGTTGGCCCTTGACATTTCAGGTTTCTAACAAAGTTTTAACGATATTTATTTATAGTTGCCAAACCAAAAATTAAATTTCTATTAATTTCAAAGATTTTCCATTCTCACTAATAATAAAAACAAAGATATGGTAATATATTTAAAATTATTAAATAATTCCTAACCTCCAAAATGACACTGGCACTGAAAAAAAGTACAGTTCCGAAAAATTCGAACTTTGAGCGAGATCGCCTGCCAGTCGAACAAAAATTTCACTATGACTTGGTGGTACCGAGCAATTTAAGTCGAATGCAATAATTTACTTTTAATTAATTAGGTTTTGGCAGTCGAACAGACACCACTCAAAAAAGTCGAACTAAATGCGCATTAATGCAGCCAGTCGAATCTGCTATCAGTTTAATAGTTGTATGCGACTAATAATTTGGAATTAACTTGTTCCACTGGTTCTCGAACGGTTTGCATCGAGTTTTAAAGAAACTCGAACAAACCTAATGTTGACCTCTAACTGAGCGTGAACTGAACACCAATTAAACGTATTTTATAAATACGTTTAAGTCGTAAAATTTTGTTTTCTTTTTACGATAAATGGATATCTACAAATTCAAAATATTGAGATTTTGCAAAATTTGTTTGGAATCAAACTGCAATCTGATTTGTAACGGTTTTATTACCGTTTACATGTATACAATGTACTACACAGTTCACTTCATAATATAAGAATAAGGATAGTACAATTTTGAAATAAGTTCATGAAT